CTTGCACTTTCAGTCTTTCTGAATAACATGAAGTAAAATGCAATGTAAACATTGCAAATTTTAAATGTACTTTTAGCTCATTAGTGGAGAACCTCTGGTTTTTCAGCTGGAATACTTCTGCCAATTCTGGTCATCATACTTAAAAAATGATGTAGAGTTCAAAAGTCCCCCCCCCAAAAAAAGGACAACCAACCTGCTGAAGCAATTTATCCAGAAAGAAAAGTTAAAATACTTGGTGCCATTTAGCTAAGAAAAAAAAGGGCAAGTAACAGGAGGAATGACAGAGCATATGAAACTTTGCTTGATGCGAAGAAAGTACCCTACATCCTCATCATGTTGGAACCCAGGTTCATCTATGGAACTTGAATGCAGGAAAATTCAGGGCAGACAAAAAAGGAAGTACTTCACATAGCACACAATTAACAGCGGAATTTATTACCACAGGATGCAGAGATACCTGTCAACTTCGATAACTTTAAAAGTGGATTGGGTAAATTCACAGAAGTTGGGGTCATTAGTGTCTGCTAGTCAGGAAAGCTACAGATCCCTTCCAGTGTCAGATGTGACATCCTTTTGTATATCTGCTACTGGGGAGTGTAGTGTGTGTGTGTGTGTGTGTGTGTGTGTGTGTGTGTGTGTGTGTGTGTGTGTGTGTGTGTGTGTGTGTGTGTGTGTGTGTGTAACTGCCTTTATATCCTTTTAGCAAGTTACCCACAGTTGGCTGCTATGTGAACTGATGATAGATGTTTGGTCTAACTTTTCTTATAGTTTTAACTTCCATCAACTCCAGGGAAAACAATACAACATATAGGGCCCCCACTCCTTTAGACATTGAGCTTCATTCAGCTTCCCCTGGAAAGGACTTATGGACTTTGGTGAAAAATAATTTTACATAAGCTTCCATTGACAAGTCACATTGGTCAAAATTTTGTTGCTTCAGCACAGTAAGCCATAGTTTAGAGTAAGCCCATTTGAATCAATGACCTTATGGAGCAGTTGACTCATCAAATCCCCATTGTTTCAGTGGCAGCCGATTACTTCATGTAATAGGTAGGTCACTTCTTAACAATCAAAATTATTTTCATGTTATGAAAACTTGAAGACAAGCTCAGAATATAACTTAGCATGCAAAGTTGCACTGCTCACAAGGGTTGTTCGTAGAAACAAGGAAGGCCCCAAATCTTGTTACTTAGCATAGTAAACTGCACTAGAGTAGGTTCATTGAATCAAAAGGGATTTGGTATATCAATTCCTCTATACAGTATGTTTCATTGATTCAAATGGGCCTACTCTAAGTGTGATTTACTTTAGCACAGTCAGTTGCAATTCAAGTAGGCCTGTTTGAATCAAAGGAGTACAGTAGTTGGCTAAAATGTTTTAAATGTTTTAAATAAATAAATAAATTCCCAATGATTCAATGAGCCTATTCTATTTAAGTCAGTATATAAAGCAACAGAATTTTGGCTATTACTTACTTTACTCTGAGCAACACTGACTTTTAAAATAAAAACTGGATCATTATAGCTTTACTAATATAGCCTTACTGTACTTGGACAAACTTGGTACCCCTCAACACTAATACGTGAAATGGTCAGTGAGAATGTGAGGACCTAGCACTGGCCTTTTTATGCCACCAAACAGTCCAGCCACTGATGAAAATCTGACTGGGATCAGACTGCAAGAGTGCTTTTTGTTGCTTTGCAGAGCTTCCTTCATGATGATGGAAAGCCAGGATTTCTATCCTTATGGAGGAAATCTACATATGTACAAATAGGTTCCCTTGAGACTGGTACAGATCATATGTTGGCCAGTGGAGGTTATCCCAAGGGGAGCACTGATAGGAAGGAGACAGTCTTACTGGCTTCTTCACTACTTTGAAACCAAACATACAGATAGCATGGTTCTAAAATCTCGTGAATATAATTCTGCAACCCATAGTATTATACTGGATAAATTCATTTCTGATTAATATAAAGTTTTTCAGTAACTGCCAATAGAGACAAAGAGAACTACTACAACATCCAGTGCAAAGAAATAGAAGAGAACAACAAAAGTGGAAAAACAAGATATCTCTTCCAGAAGATTCAAGAAATCAAAGCGAAATTTAAGTCCAGAATGTTGGAAGACTAACAGGGAAGCAAACTATCTGACCAGGAGAAAATAAAGAAAAAGTACAAACAGTATACTGAAGACATACATAGAGGATGTAAAAGGATGACATATTCCTTTGAAGAGAATTTTTATGATGAAGAGCCTGTAATTCTATAAAGTAAAATGAAAGCTGCTCTGAAAGCACCAGGAAGAAATAAATCACCAGGGATAGATGGGTATTGACTATTTCAAGCCACGGATTCAAAACTGAATCTGTTAAAATGGTAACAAGAATGTGCCAACAAATATGAAAAACAAAACAATGATCCACAGGTGGGAAACATTCAATGAACATTCCAATCCCCAAGAAAGGAGGTGCCAAGGAATGCAGGAACTATAGGACTTTTAATTGTCCATGGAAGTAAATTGATGCTTAAAGTGCTGCAACAGGAGAGTATTGCAGATGCACTAGACTGCCAGAAAGACAAACAAATGGATCCTAGATCAAATCAAGCCTCAACTTCCTGTGGAGCCAGTAAACCTAGGTTGTCCTATTTTGGGTACATCATGACACAAGAGGGAGAACACAAGAGACAACGTTTTTAGTAGTTGTCTCCAGACTATGAAACTTCGTGGCAAGTGGGGCTAGGTACACCACTTCTCTGATGTCTTTCTGCTAGCACATGGCACCTTTCTATACAGACAAGCTATTGACAACTGAAAAGCTGCTAAGGATAGAGACATAAAAGGAAGTGCTACACTTCTCTATTACCAATTGCAATTATTATTTTTATCTGAATTACATTCTGCTTGAATAGGATAACTGATTTCATTATGCTTTAATATTTACAATGCTTTTTACGTACACACAGACACACACACACACACTTGCTTTTAAATTATACTGTAAGGCAACTTGCATCCCAGTTTTTTGAAGAAAGGTGAGATAAAAATGAAATGAAATGAATAAACAAACAAACAAACAAATAAATAAATAAATATGATACCCATTCTACAACAATAAACATATATAGGTTGAAATCCTGTTCAAGCTGGTGTAATGTAAAGCTACTCCTATGAAGGGCATTACACCCAGGCAGTCTATATTATGCAATCAATTGAATGACTTTTGTGCAACACACCTCTGGAACTGTTTCGCTATAAGCTCCTGGGTTCCTGCCTTCGACCTCTGAATCCACACAACCTGTAAACAGTGACTACAAACCCAAAAGGGTTTATTGAAACCTGGATGGACCAGTCCCAGTTTCAGACATTAGTCCTACTCTCTCACGGCTAGTCTGCCAGTGGCTTTGTTCACAGGGAAGTCTTCTGTCTCTTGAGGGGACTTTGTTCCCTTCACTGAGCTCCCACCTCGATTGATAGGTTCCCCTCATCTGCCAAGGCTCCTAGCTCTCAATGCTGTGATGTCACATTGTGGGAATGTCACGCCCACTCCTAGCCCCCCCTTCATTTTATTTTTTAAAAGTGATTAAAACATCTTTGGACAGGTTTTTTTTTGTTTGTTTAAAAAAACTAGACCTCTGCATGTGTGCATGAAGGCAGACTAAAAAATAAATAAATAAAAATTCAAAGACATGATGGGAGCCAAAGGAGGAGCAAGGAGAGTTAGGTGGGTGGAAAGGTGGGGAAGGGGTAGACATAGAATTGGCAGGGAAAAGGGGGCCAATTTCCCCCATATTTTGGGCTTTTTACAAAACCAATATGTACTCCGAGCTTCTAGGCACAACTGTATGCTTTATCTCAATCAATATTAGTTCAGCTGCTGAACCATGCGATGTTTACTTGGTGTAGTTGATACTTAGGATATCTCTGTGCGTTTGAACTAAACAGCTATGTTCATATGCTATACACTTGTCATTCTTAAAAGCAACGGGATTTTGAACAAATATTCATAACAAATATGATACAGCAATAATGAGGCGGCAGCACCTCAGAACACATGAAGGGGAGGAAAACTGTTGCTTAGAAGTGATTTGACATGAAGGTTTCTGTACACACTGGAAAAGCATTTATCAGGCATTTAACCTAACTTTGTTTGGAATATACATGATATACACATGTACCTATTTGGAAAGAGTGATTTTTCAAATGCATAGTTTCCCCTGTACAGTCTGAAACAATCCTGCCAGTCTGTACAATATATCACCATGGATACTTTAATTGGTTCTCACTTCTACTTTTTTCTTTAATCAGGATTTTAGACAATCAGTTTCTACTGAGAAGAGGCACCAAACTGAACAAAAACAGCAACAACATTTTATTAAAACCCATTTTTCCCCCCAAAGAAAACTTTAAGAGCCAGGATACCAGCCAGCTACCTAACTCTGCATGTACACCTTATTTTTGTAAATAGGTATCTGAATTGAAAATGTTAGTTTCTCTTTCTGCTTTGCTAGTAAGGTGCCAACCTGTAGATAAATTAGAACATACTTTCCGCTTTAGATCTTAAGAGGATTTAAAACACACAGAGAGAGACTGTTGTAAAACATAATTATATTTGGAGAGTAAATTGATTGTTCCAAACACTCCTTTTCAATTTATGAAAAGGTCTGTCTTCATACTGTATAGCACTGATGTATCTGAAATGCATTACCACTTCAGCAGATGTTTAGAATCAAACTTAATATGCATAAACTTTTTGTAAATAACTGCAAGGCTTTGATTCAGCCTTTTCCATACCTTGCCTAGTTAATTACCTGGGCTTTTAATGTTTACACGCAGCAAATGTATCTCCAGCTATAAACTACATAATTTATAATTGATGTAAATGGTTGTTATTATGTCAATTAAGCAGCTGTGTTCTCCACCTTCTCACTAAATAGAATGAGTGATAAACTGAGTTTACAGGGAGATACCTGGTTTTCTTCAGAAGGGATAAAATAAATTACCTAGGTAGACCAGGTTGTCCAATTGTTCTCTGGTGAGGTGGATGTTGTATCCAGGCTTCCTCTCTTGACCCGTTGACTGCAGCAAATGGTCAATTTCGTCACGCACCACTGCAAGAGCTTCTGGGTGCCGCAGAAGATAATACATGGCCCAGAATGTAGCTGGAATCGTGTTTCCCACAGCGGCCCACATGAAGGCAAAATGATGTGCTGGGAGAAAATAAGTGAAAAGGAAGATTAATAGCGTTTATTACACTGATTAGATTTGCAGTGTGCTAATTAAAAGATGTTAGGACACAGACCCAGCCAAGGATCAGTGAATGCTAATGAGGACCAATAGGCTTCTGAAGTCTAATTTTCTGCTTAATGAGAATAGTTTGAAATGTAATTTCAGGTGGGGGTGGGGACGAAATAAAGAGAGGAAATGCAGCTCAGTTATAATCTCTCTCATTATCACCATTAAGTATCTTGTTTTACCACCTCTGTACAAAAAAAAAAACCCAAGAAAGAGAGAATCAATTATCATACAGGGTTGTTTCAGAGTAAAACATTTTATCATTAGCCAATTAGAAGAAACATTAAAAATGTTCAAGGTCGCCATTTTGCCATTTTATTTCAAAGGTCTCTAGTAAATTATCTGATTCTAGACAAGCAATCATTCAAAAGTTGGCTACCTGCTTTGTCGTAATCGCTGAACTCCTCGTACCTCTCAAAAAGATTTTTTCTCTCCTGGACTACTTCGGAAATTCCCAACCATTCTGCCATATTTTGGGGTTTAAAAAAATTGATGAGCTCCTTCCGAATCCTCTTGGTCACTCCCAAGAATTCAACTGGAATGTTTGCAACTAAATAGGAAAACTTAGCATCGAACTTGAGAAATTTGTCTCCAATCTCATCAGTAACATTAAGGCCCTTTGCACCAGGATATTTTCCATAAAGGGTCACAAAACTGGCTTGGAACATGATGGAAAAGCAAAACTTATTCAGTGACTCTGTCTCCCAGTCTGCCACTTGTGAGAACTTTGTCTGAAATATATTTTGGAGGCTTTTCATCATATGGTCAGAGAGTGTGTCCAATGGTTTTCCTGAAAGATACTGATAATTCCTGTGCAGATGTTCATTTAGGTCTGGCCACTTCTCATTCAGAATTGGTGGGTGATCAAATGCTCGGGATGACATTTGATCAGCAATTTCTTTAAATTCCAAGTACTTGCCATGCTTGATCACAGAAGAAAAGTGCAAGGGCTCCATTACAAAGGTCATATACCTGCCTGGAGGAGAAAAAGAAATTAATCAAAGCCAGCATGCCAATTTAAGGCCAACAATGCCAATCTGAGCATCTTATTCCATGTTAGAAGATCTGTGTGGCAGTCACAGAAGGAAAGTGCACAAGGTCTCTGACAATGGTGAGATACAAGATCATGTTGCCTAAAGAGTAATTAGAAATGTGGCATCATACTCAAGACTACTGTAAACAAAATCAGCCAAGTTGAGAAAAAATAATTGTCCTGCAAACAATATTTTGATTTTAAACAAAAACAAGAGCAGAAACCACAAAAAAGATATCAGATATGCAAACCTACAGTTTAGTAGTACATATCTGTATTATTATTTTTACATATACAATAGTAATAACAGTATACATTGACACATCATTGATGTGCTACAAATTTCCCTATAACGGTTTTCCATCACAGTTTTATCTTTTTTTCTAATGTTTCTGCAAGAAGCAGTGTTGCACCTGCTCACAAATCATAAATAATTCCTCTATGTTCTCTCTTTATACAGTTTCTTATTTAAGAATATACCTGGAGGATGAATTTGACAGCATCTCACAATTTATTTACTAACAATGCTAAATCCCAAATGGCTACTAACTCTAATTGCACCCCTAGTGGATTTATTTAGGATGGAGGGTGTATAGAGTAATCTATACATATTTACTCAAGGCTACCTGAGAATCTGGTTGCATAAAACTACAGCCAGGATTATTATGAAAGTGACAAGGCATTAAGAGCCTCGAGGTGCAGTGGTCAAACTGCTGTACTGCAGCCAAAACTGTGCTCACAACCCCGGGTTCAATCCCAGGTTGGAGCCAGCTCAAGGTTGACTCAGCCTTCTATCCTTCTGAGGTCGGTAAAATGAGTACCCAGCTCGCTGGGGGGGGGGGCAATGTGTAGCCTGCATAATTAACTTGTAAACCGCCCAGAGAGTGTTTGAAGCACTATGGGGCAGTATATAAGCAGCATGCTTTGGTTTGCTTTACATTATGGCAATATCCTGGGATTCCATTTACCAAGCACACCCATGGACCCAACAGGCATTCAGACTGGAGAGAAGAATTGTCTGTTGGACTGCCTTCCTGCATAAATAATTCGGAACCGTTCCCTCTGAGGAACTAAGTGCATTTAGAGAATTAAAAACAAATCAAAACACCAAAAACATAAGCAAAGATTCAACCAGAGTTTGGAAATGTGACTATGCTGCCAGAGATATTCTGGGACTTCTAGCTCAAAAAGCAGTTTTTCCAAGTTCAGCATTCAAATGTTGTAAGTTGACCTCACAGGTTAGGTCTCTGCAGAGATTTTCTATATATCCTTAGCAATTGTCCACCTACTTTACCACTACAACCCTGTTAGCAGTTGATGTACTTTGATATCAGCCAGCATATTTCACTTTTAGTGGCCCTAATTTGATATGTCACCAGAGACTCTATTTTATTGGCACTGGTCCAATGGCAACCTTGTGTTACAGTTCACCACTTCTTAACAAACAAAGTTGTTTCCATACTACCGAAACGTGAAGAGAGGCTCTGAATATAACTTATCATGCAAAATTAAGTTCTCGCAAGGATTGTTCATAGAAACAAGGAATGGCCCAAATCCTATTGCTTAGCATAGTAAATTGCACTAGAGTGAACCAACTGAATCAACAGGAATTTGGTGAGTAAACCTCTCTGCAAGTTCCATTGATTTCAATGGGCCTAACTGTAACTGTGACTTACTTTAGCATATTAAGTCACAGTGAGAGTAGGTACATTTGAATCAATGGAACCTATGGAGTAGTTGACCTACTAAATCCCCACTGATCCAATAAGACTATTTTGTGTGCTTTACTATATATACTAAGCAACAGGACTGTGGTCATTATCTGAAAAAGGCTAGTATGATTTAAATCACATGGCTTAGTCTCCCAAAGAATTGCACACAGTCGCGTCAGCATGAGAGAAAAAGCAAACAATTTCTTCTTGAAAAACTTAATAGTATGTATCAAATTAGCTACCACCATTTCTATTTACATATAATGGCTCTGTCTACACAGGTCTGTCTGCCCCTATTCTTTAGGGGAGAATGACTGTGATGCAGCATCCCAAGAATATTGCTATCAAAAATGATCTGTGGAGAAAGGCAAAAGGGACAGCTGTCAGAAGTGGTTTCAATTGCTCCTGACTCCTAACTGAGCATTGTGGAATCTACTGCCATTGTCACAATGTTAGGGCTTCTTTAACAACTCGGGTGTAACAGATTTTTTTTCACTGCTTGAGCTAGCAGTCATTCCACACACTGAGAAACTGATTAGGCTGGTAAAATTATAGCCCTGTACACAATGGTTGCATAATTTAAACACTGATGGTTTAAATTACATTAAAAACACAAGGTTCAGGTTTACAAAATGTGTTTCAGCACAGAATTTAGTGCAATGGTTTTGTAATTGCTACAATCTTAGGTTCAGGAACAAACCTGAGCACAGATATGAGGGTCAGAATCCTATTGGGAGGGATGTTCACAACAGTCATTGTGCAAGCAGTTATCCCTCTTTGCTGGGATGTTTATCATCTAATTGGTTGCAAAATTGGTTGTGTGATGGACAGTCGGACAGAGGGGGGAACTGGTTGTGCAATTGCAATTGTGAGCACAGTTTTTTCCAGCAGGATTCTAGCTGAGGATATTAGTTCCTAGAAAGAAAAACAACAACCTTCCATTTAAACTCAACAACAATATGTTATCCAAAGTTTCCTTTCTGTAAATAGAAAGAACTCTGACAAAAAGAACTGTGTTCAAGGAAGAGAGCTTTTGGATCCAACACAAAGTTATTAGATCAGTGACAATGTTGGCAAAGGTTGGCTGACATGACTAGCTTAAATTGTCAACATTCATCCCTGTGTTCAGAATAATGCAGAATAAACTATTCATAATTCCCACTCTGTGCAATAGGAAAAGTTTATATACATCTATTAAAATGTATTTTTCAGGGACGTGGTGGTGCTGCAGGTTAAACCACAGAAGCCTCTGTGCTGCAAGGTCAGAAGATCAGCAGTCTTAAAATTGAATCCATGCAACGGAGTGAGTTCCTGTCGCTTGTCCCAGGTCCGGCCAACCTAGTTCGAAAGCATGTAAAGAAAAAGCGAGTAGATAAATAGATACCACCTTGGTGGGAAGGTAATGGTGTTCTGTGTCTAGTTGCACTGGCCACATGACCATGGAAACTGTCTTCGGACAAACGCTGGCTCTATGGCTTGGAAACGGGGATGAGCACCGCGCCCTAGAGTCGGACACGACTGGACTAAATGTCAAGGGGAACCTTTACCTTTGCTTATTAAAATGTATTTGGTGGATCTAGAAAAACACACCTCAATAATTCCATCAAAGTTAACTTTAAAGGAGAATGGTATTATCCACATACCATCCTTTTTGTTTTTCTTGTTTATCACAGATTTGAAATCAAAGTATGCTTTCAGCTTACAATGATAAAGTTTTAAGCAAGGAAAATGCAAAAAGGCCAGGATCTTGGCTTTGATATTGTTAGATTTTTAGATAAAAGAATTCATTAGCAGAAGAACAGAAAATCCATTAAGGCTACACACTAATTTCTCTTACCTGGGAATAAACCTAGCTGCATTCAGTAAGATTTACTGAGCAGACATATATAGGATCTTTCTTTCATGTAAAATTACTCATATTGGAACAAGCAATGTGTCAGAATATTTGCACATGAAACAAACTGCAAATCTTTGGACAGTTTGTAGACAGAAGTAATAAATAAGAGCTGTCTTCAAAAGTTTGCCCCCAAAGTATTTAGAGATTTGAGAATTTTTCTCTTGGCCACAACCCAATCTTTAAGAATGAAATCATTCTGAGAGTCACATTTTACTACAGGCATCAAAGTTGTGACCAAAAGACTGAACATAAACTACACTCTGCTCTGGTATTTAACAAGCTGATTTTGAATGCTATTAACCTGAAGATGTCAGCTAGCTTCCCAACTTTGAGCATTCAGGGTAAACAATTTAAGATTTCTTTAAAAATTAATTAATATTAATTTAAACCATCTGTCCACCATCTGCTATTTTGGATGAAAAATACGAGCTGTTTTCTTTGTGATCTCCACTCCAAGATTTTGCAAAATAATTCCCAATTCTTATCTATTTAAATATCAACATAATTTCAAGCAAATCATCTTTCAAGCATGGGCAAACAGTTTATTATTACACCCTGTTCTGAATATATTAGTTCTGGAATAAGATTCTATACATTTCTTATACAAGCCCATGAACTATACTCCCCTAGGAGTATTTGGATTTGTTTCCAAGTCAATCTGTTTAGGACTCAGCTCTTGCTGTCTTTATACCCGCTTATTCTATGTAAGCCCATTCAAATGTAAGGCTTCACGCAATATAGTCCTGACAAAGGAAGTGTCAGGACATCAACACCTCTATCCCTCTGATGATTTTTAGTTATTACATGCCAAAAATTGAACTCTTATGTTGCAAAGCAACTATTCAAATCAACACAAAGATTGAAATGGAAAAAAAATAAATTGAAAAATGCAGTCTGTATAAAAATCTAAGAGAGAAAAAGGGATCTCTGTGTTGAATCAAATTCTTCCAACTTACCTAAGCAATGCACATTAGTAGCATAATTTCTAACAAACTGCAACCCAATAAACAACACTGTTTGCATCCATATTTTAAATGGTGATGAGATTAAAGGGAGGGAGTTAACTCTCAGAAGATGAAAAGGTTTTTCAGTAAAGGAAAATGTGTGGTGGTCTCTCTGAACGAAAACAAAAAGCAAAACAAAGATATCCCTAGGTATCCTATGTACTTTAACTTGAGAGTAACCCCAGTGCACATGATGTAACTTACATCTGGGCAAACATGCTTAGGGTTGTATGCATAGTCAACTGCTATCAAAGGAGCTTGCTTCCATATAAAGGCTTTGATTCGAGTTCCAAATATACACTGGCAACCAAATACGTTTTCCGTTTGGCA